GTAATATAACTAAATTCATTATTTCTCTCTTTAGTTGTTGTTCAAACTTTCATTGTTCGGAAGCATAGTTTGGGTTGTATGGAATTAATCATGACTTAATTTAATTTGACAGTATGTCTTGGTGTGAAGACGTGAATATGGTATGATCTTGTCACAGGCAGTGTCGCGCAGTAACTTAAACGGCGAGTTACGCAACATATTTTACAACCAACGAATAGGCTATATTCGATGTCAGTTGGGCCAGAACCAGATTATCGTAACTCTTAAATAGCTTCACTTGATCTCTTTAACCTATGGATCAGGACAGCATATTCAACGTATATGAATAAGCAGTACACGTAATCTAAAGTCTTATATTAAAAACCTTGCCGTAATTCTTGACAATTTCTACAAAAGAGAAAATACATATAAAAGTCCTAAAACTCATTTTTCTAACTCTTTCCACGAAACAGTGAAAACNAGCGTAAATTCAGTCCCAGAAATCACTATTGACTTTCTTGGGATTTTTCTCAAGACATTGTTCACTCGAGGCGGACTAGTCTGGTACACTTGCCAATTTTAACAATAGAGAGAAGACTAGCATTGTCTTCGCATAAAGATGACACGCTTTACAAAGAGATTTAACTTCGCGAATTCGATTAGTGTCCGACAAACTCTCATATCTCTGTATGCAATGCGTTGTATCCTTTTCTTTGACACAACGCACGATGGATTCTCTTGGCAAAGATACATCAAATATTTCTTGGCCCTTGCAACTACACCATCTTAAGAAACCAATGTGCAGAAGAGGGAGAGTGACTAGACTTGTAATAGTTGGCTTTGTCACCACATTGCTATTATTCATATCAAATGCTCGATCTAAACAGGATGTGTTTATCCCCCCACATTTCCAGGATATAAATCATCAAATTGAAACAAGTATTTTACTACAACCAATTGTACAATACTTACATTCGAAATCTCCGATTGAAGATATAAGAGGAGGAATAGATTTCCATTCTTCTGTGTATGAACAAATTTTCAATGTTCATTCGATTAACTCAGTGCTAACAAATTTGAATTTTCAACAAAGATGTGACTTGTATTTCAACAACTTATATGTTGAGAACCTTAATTGGAGTTTAGATCCAGATGATTTAGATATACACTACGAGGAGGGTGATAAATTGAAATATCAATACGACACTTTCAAAGAATTATTCATGGAGGAGCTTAAGCTTGGATTTTCACAAGATACCGAAAGTCCACTTCATTCCATCTCGGAAGATATTCCTAAATTTAAAGAATATATGGAGAGTATGTATAATTTGAATTGGAGAGGACTCATGGAGACTGAACAGAAGGTTATTGATTATCTTTCCATTGTAAGGATTTTTAACAAGTGTTATATTTCTCCACACTATACTTCGCAAAAGGAGTTTACTAAAGCACAAAAGAAAGATTTAACTAAGCTTGGATTACATGACAAATTTAGGGAGAGTCACGACGAAAAGCAGTTGAAAACAGAAGGGAATAATTATGAAAATTTGGAGAATCGAATACATCCTTGGTTTAATTTCAGATATCCAATATATACCAGATGGACAGGAGAAGAATATTCTGATCCCAGAGATATCCATAAACATGTAACTAGCATGAAATATAAATCAACAAAGGGTAAAGCATGTTTTCTTTCTCAATTCCAAAAATCATTCCTTGGAAAGGGATTAGTGGTTACGATTGCTGAAAGGCATGTAGACGATATGATCAGATTAATCCATTCCCTTCGAGCTTTGAATAATAAGCTCCCAATAGAATTAATAAATTATAAACCTATTTCACAAAATTCAATCGCTAGGATAATTAAAGCTGCCCGAGAGCCATTTGACGAATTAACAAATTCATTCCAAAAGGTATCGAAATATTTCCCCCAGAATTACCGACAACAAATTCCCAAACAAGAAATATGGTTTATTGACGCAAGTGTAGCTATTAATGAGAGATATCAGACCAAATTTAGAGGATGGGGGAACAAATTGGTTGCCTTGTTTTTCAGTACTTTCAAAGAAGCCATATTGATAGATTCTGATACGGTATTTTTCCAACCTCCTGAATCATTATTTGGTTTCAACGGATATCAAGAAACAGGGACTTATTTCTTCAAAGACAGAAGAGCGGGTCCGGAACAACCAGCATCCATCCGGAAATTTTTCACAAAATTAAGTCCATCAATTATTGATTCGATAATGTTTGATATACCGATAATGTCTAATCATTCTTTACTGACGGGGTTCTTTCAGGGATATGAACATACTATGGAATCAGGAGTAGTTGTGATTGACAGATCTAGATATTTTGATTCAATCTTAATGATGATGCAATTTCAGATTCTAGAACCTACCAGGAATCGAGTGTATGGAGATAAGGAAATATTTTGGTTAGCTATGGCTGCGAATGGGGTTGAAGATTTTGTATTCAATAAATATGATGTTGCTGCAGTTGGTGATATTGGAGATCCAATTTTTGATACAGAGTCACAAAAATCTCTTAAAATATGTACTTCACATCCTGCACATATAAATGGAGAAGATGGAAACAGTTTACTTTGGATAAATGCTGGAATGTCATTTTGCAAATTTTATGATGATTTAGATTATACTGAAGAATTAAGAATTCTAGGTCCGGGAACACGACATACCCCGGAAAGTTTGCGCCGTATTTATTCCTCACCAGTAAGTATATCAGCAGCTATTATCCCACCTGATTTTCCAGGAGTAAGAAATAATATTGAAAATGAACCAAATATTAATTGGGGTCCTTCACCTTATGGAACATATTCTTGTGATGCATGCGTTTGGTGTGCATATTCTCAGATTGGAGGATTGCAAGAAGACGGAAGTGACAATACCATGTATGGCAAAGTAATTCATTTTGATCAGAAGCAGAAGGATATAATTAAGTATATTGGTGATATTTGGTCTCAGGCAGTCTAGGAAACAATAGAAGTATTTAGCTGGGACAGATTTGAGATTTCCATATTTTTTTAATCGCAGTGTCAATTATATTTTAAGATCACGTAATGGCTGCAAAAAATAATTTTCGCAACAATACCCAGAAAATAAAAAATAAAATTTATTTTTTAACCGATTCTGAACTGCAAAAAAAAAAAAGAATATTCACTCTTAGAATAAATATACATTTGTAACCTGCTTTAAATTACACAGTATGCCACTTAGCTTATTGAGATAATAGATATGGTCTTACTCGGAGAAATTCGATCAACATATATCAAATTCTGTTGGGTGTTTTGTTGTACAAACTGGTTCAAAGTCTTTATGAATAAAATTTATCGTCTATAAGAAATAATTGAACATTTTGTTAGTTGACCAATAGATCTCACTCTTTCAGTTTTGTATGAATGGTTTTGTGATTAATTGAAGTCCAGAAATCTATTCATAAATCAGCGTTTTTATTGTCCCAAATCATAAGGAATTTGGGGGATCATTGATGGCGGAGAGTGGGGGAAGATGATAAAATTCAAAATGCGACAATTAATATTTGCCGCAAAATCAGACCAGACAAAATCAATCATACAAAACTTCAGACACTTTTTGTTGATACTACTATGCAATTTTCAAAAAGTGTCTGGCAATCCTGAATGGAAAGAGGTGTTTTCTACACCGTTAGTTTTGGATTTCACAAAGTCCGAAGTACGAAAAGCATGTAAATAAACTTTAATTTTCCAATTTGTGGTAGCCCGACTGGCACCTCATAGATTGTAACTTTCTAGAGAATTATCGACCCGTTTGGTCATTCCCAATCATGCACCCTCAAAGAGAAATTTTATATAACTAATCTAGTACAATTTTATCTGGTACGCATGAATGATAAAATACTAGAATTCATAAATTTTTCAAATTCATTACGAATTTCATCATCATCAATAATCTTCAATGCATGTTCCCTATACGGTCATTCTAACCTTGTAGATTTATCTTTTAACAGTTAAAGGCTTAGCACTAGTCTTATATCGTCCTGCCCTGTGTTCTTATTTTCGATTCTGAATGGTCGATCAGGTACAATTCCTAGAACAGTAGTTGGAAGGAAAAGAAAGACGAGTACATCTTCAAAAGTGTTTTTTTAAAGACGAGGATCTTCCCTTCTTGGAATTGCCTTTCCCAGAGAGCAACATGATATACTTGGAAACTCTCCGCAAAACCCGTATTTGTCAAACTCTATGGCAATGCCCGGCTTCTCGCTTATAAGCCCCAAATTCCATATCCCATTCGCCCACTGAAGTCAAGGTTCCAGAATCTTTCCCTCCAGGTTACATATACCATAATTGCCCAATCCTATGCACAACGTCCAATTCGCCCGCTGAAGTCAGGGCTACAACGTTTCCCTCTGTGGAGGATACCATAATTGCCCAATTCTATGCATACTTTCCTAACTCTACTTTTGTTTGCTTTAAAATTACAAAGCTTAACTGGAGTAATGTTGCGCCATTTGCACGAATGATTGAAACGATAACGCAATTCTTTCTGGAGACTTGAAACAATAAGGTGCTTTTAAGGTCAAAAAAATTTCAGAAAAGGATCCAATCAAGAAACATTTTGAAAAGTACATGTAAAATCAAATGCACCACTTCTTAACACATCTAGTCAAGTACTAATTATCATTTAAATTTCAAATAATTGAGATAATCTTGGAGGTCTTTTGTGAGGTGCTGAGAAGCGTAATGGTATCACCTTGTGCTAACTGAACCATGCAACGTTGATGGGGACCTTATCATCCAATTCCCAGATTTGTATATAAAGTATGCAACATAAGGGTATCTATCAAAGTCAATGCCAGTCATAACTTCCTAAATTTAACAATAGTTGCATAATTCACTGAGGGAAAAAAGTTAACCCAGATATAAGAAAAAAAAAAAAACCCCAGATTCTTACAAATTGCTATTGAAATTTGTCAAGAAAATCTTGCATACTGAACATAACTATAATTCTTCACAATTAGCTCACAATTCCAATTGAATGAAACTCTTGGAGGCACGGATTCAATGCAATTACTGCAATGCCCCTTTTACTCAGCAGTTTTTGATATATATTGTGTTACATTGTCAAATGTAAATAATTTGGACAAACTCCATACCACTTTTGTCCTTTGACAAATGACTTAGTTCAGTTTTTTTAGTTACATGAATCTTGTAAGCAACATGTTGATGGTATCTCTATTTCAAATGGACAACCCCTAGAATTATACAAAGATTTGACAAAAGAGGAAAGATAAGTATATACTTTTAGCGTATCTGCAGAAAACAAGTCATAGAAGCTTCCAGAATGTTAAATTTAGAGTTTTCCTGGTGCTAGTTGAGCCTTGATTGAACAAACAAATTAAACAGGGCATACCCCTCTCAATAGCCACCTATGATATTGTTCTTGGATATAGTTTTAGCGACTCGGCCTTCAGTATAAAATTCCTAGGGGTTGACTTGTAGGTCAAGATTAAAATCATAGCTAAGTCTTAAAGATAAGACCCCTGAACAGCAAAAGAAAAATCAAGGAATGCTACTTTACTTGTAAGCATCTTTTCTAATGTTGCAATTAAAGTTTCATTTTCTCAACTCAATTCTATGAAATTTCAAATTGAGTCTTTTCTTCATGGAGGAACGGACTTTGAAAACGCATGGGCATTACCTTCTGGATGAAATGTTAATATAAAATAGGCACGTTCTTTGCCAAAACTATGCAATTTGCAAACTTTTGCCTAAAGTTATACCTCAACAACCAAAAAGATGTTAATTCGAAACATTCTACTTCCCTTTTATTTGATATTTGCCAGTGTCTTTGCAGATACTGTGATCGACACTAACACAGTTACCAGGGGCTTTCTTGAAATTGATGGATCTGTAACCGTTGAGTCAGACAGCTATTGGGCTATTATTGATAACGCCTTAACTTCGTTTGTTGGAGATGTAAGGGTTCAAGAGGATGCCACGTTATACATTACGTCACTTTCTCCACTGCTTGCATTGACAGTTGAAATGTTAAACCCATTGCATTTGTTCGTGAATAAGGGTACGACAGTTTTCAATTCGATGATATCACTTTCTCCTCCAAGATATCAAATTGCTGGTCAATCTTTTGTGAATACTGGTGAAATCTATTTTGTGGGTGGGTCCGCTGTGATCCCACCTGTTTTTGACATTACCACAGCCGAATTTGATAATCAAGGTCTAATTACCTTCTACCAAGATTCAAGAAGTACTTCATTAGTTAACCTTGGTGTTCCAACGACGACGATCAACAATGAAGGTAATATTTGTTTCTTCAATTCTGTATATGGTCAATCAACTGCAATTACTGGAAATGGTTGTATGACTGCCAATATGGATACCACAATCTACCTATCGAATGCCCTTCTCGGAGTACCCCGTGAACATACATTTGTTCTAGCTGATAGTGAATCTTCTATTGTTGCTGATGCATTTTCTACAGTACAAACATTTACAGTTTCAGGTTTCGGAAGGGGCAACAAGGTCGGCTTGACTTGTCCATTATTCGAAATTCCATTCGGACCTAAGGAGTTTGAATACGATCCTCAAACAGGTATTTTAACATTACGTTGTGCAGGTTTGCTTGCAACCAAATTCGATATCGGTTTAGGTTATGATCCAAATGGTTTTAGAAAGGTTACTGATTCTGGAGGTGGTTTCCCAGCCACTATCGGTGGTTCGGTTACTTATGATGGACCAATTCCAAATGAAGTTATGCCAGAGCACTGCATGCCATGTCAGCCAATTCCAGGTTGCCCTCTTTGTACTCCAGAAGATGACGAGGAATCTACTAGTTCTGAGGTTGATGTTGAATCAAGTACTACCACAGTTGATGATGACGATGAGGAAACTTCCAGTAC